GCAGCCTCGACCTGCTGTGCTCCGGTGATCCTTCCGCCTCAGCCTTCCAAGTAGCCGGAATTACAGGCATGCGCTACCACACCCGGGTGATTTTTTGATTTATTGTAGAGATGAGGTCTCACTGCCCAGGCGGATCTCGAACCTGTGGGCTCAGGCAATCCACTCACCTCAGCCTCCCAAAGGTGCAGGATTACAGGCTGAGCCACCGAGCCCGGCTTGGGGCTGTTTATTTTTTAAATTTTTTTGAGTCAGAGTCTCACTCTGTCGCCCAGACTGGAGTGCAGTGGGACACTCAAGGCCACTGCAGCCTCGACCTGCTGGACTCAGGCAGTCCTTCTGCCTCAGCTTTCCAAGTAGCTAGAACTACAGGCACTCGCCACCACATCCGGCTAATTTTTTGATTTATTATAGAGACGAGGGTCTCACCAAGTTGCCCAGACTGGTCTCAAACCCCTGGACTGAAACAATCCTCTCACCTCGGCCTCCCAAAATGCTGGGATTACAGGCTTGAGCCTCTGTGCCCAGTCGAGGCTGCTTATTGAGAAGAGTTTACAGGGAGTCGAGGACTGAGGCAGGGAGCTCAGTCAGGAGACTCTTGCAGTATTCCAAACCACATGGAATAGTGAGTGCTTGGATTCTGGATTTGCCAGTGAATTGGGATGTGGGATGTGAGGGAGAGGCATAACCAAGATTATTTTAAGGCCCTGACTCCTGCAGGCTTCTGAAACCGTAGCACTTTGGTTGTACTGTAAGTAGTATCCAGGCTGTTAAATGAGTACTTTGCTAAAGAATAGCCCTAGAACTATTTTAGGTAGTTTTGCTTTACAAACCATTACCATAACTCTTCTTTTTTAAAGCTCTTCACAGAATACGGTCGTCTGGCAATGGATGAAATTTTCCAGAAACCTTTCCAGGTAGAATATTAACTGTGAATGTAATTCATATCTTTGTTTTAGTTCACAGACCAGCAAACTATCACTCACAGGCCAGATCTGACCCGCCACCTGTTTTTATATGACTAGTGAGCAAAGAATGGTTTTTACATTTTTAAATGATTGAAAAAAAACTAAGAGAACAATATGATATGACGTGCAAACCATCTGAGATTCAGATGTCAGTAGCCGTAGCTAAGGGTTTAGTGCACCACGGCCATGCTTACTTGTTTATGTGTTGTCTGTGGCAGCCACAGCAGAGATGAGTAGTTGCTTAAAATTTTTACTGCCTTGATTTTCATGGAAAATGATTGCTGACCTCTGCTTTAGCTAATTGTCTCTTGAGGATGAGGAAACACAGCAGCCTCATTGACGTCAGAGGGGCTTTAACGTGTGAGCCTTGTGTCTTTTCCTTTCTGGCGACTTGGTGATTAGCTGGCGCTGGATGGTTTTCTCTCTAATTCTTTTCTACATTCCCCATCCTTGCCGTGAGTGCAGAGCCCAGGAGTTAGCATGTCCTCATCAAGCTCTTCCTTCTGCTCCTGCTAACCTGTGGGAACAAAAATAGCTGATGACATACATTGACCTCACACTTGGCTTGAACTTGTGTTTATAAAGTTTCTAGGGCAACCCCCTCGGGTCCCCTCCCCCTGTGGGAGCTTTTCTGTCCTCTCAATAAATCCTGCTTTCAAAAAAAAAATGATAATAATAATAAATAAAGTTTCTAAGGCTTTATAGAGCAGGTCAACCCTTCACATTTCCTTGCCCCTTTTGAAGAAGCTGGCATTACGCAAAAAAGTATTGTGGGGATTGTTATCTTTTTTATTTTTTGGAATCGGATTCTCACTCTATTGCCCGGGCTGGAGTGCAGTGGCGTGCTCCTGGCCACTGCAGCCTCGACCTGCTGGCTCAGGTGATCCTTCTGTCTCAGCCTTCCAAGTAGCTGGAACTATTGTAGAGACAAGGTCTCACCATGTTGCCCAGGCTGGTCTCAAACCCTGGGCTCAGGCAGTCTTCTTGCCTCTGCCTCCCAAAGTGTTGGGATTACAGGCGTGAGCCACCATGCTCAGCTGAATTTGTTATCTTAAAAATGCACTTATGCATTGTTATAATATGTTCCACTATTTTCCTAAATAGACACTGATGTTTTTGGTTCGGGACTGGAGTTTTCCTTATGAATACAACTATGGACTTCAAGGAGGAATGGCATTTTTGGATAAACGTTTACAGGTAAGTGAGTGGGAATATAGTCTTTTGAGGAATTATCTTAACGAAGTGATAGCTTTCTCGTTTGCCTTTGGCCATTGTATTTAAAGCAGAGTTTTAATTTTTTTCTTTTTTTTTTTTAACATTTTGTTAGTACTTTATTTGCATTTTTGGAGACGATATACAGATTTATAGGAAACATTGATTTTCCCCCCAAACATTAGAAAAAAGGTTTTTTTTTTTTTAAAAAAGAATCTACTGCCTTAGAAGAAAAGTCTCCAGCAAGCACACGGTCAACTCAGATTGGAGGAACCAGTGAAGTGGAAGTTACATATAGGCAATAAGTTCAGAATTCTTCACAAATGGCTTCTTGTCAAGTTGTGTTAGGCTCCAAATGGGCCATCTCAGCTTACAGCTGGCAACACACAAACAAAGCCTCTAGGGTCCCATCAAGTATGGATACAGGGCTCACTCTCCAGGAGGCTGCATCTGTTTACAGAACTCATCAAACTGCTGCTGCTCCAGTTCTGTCATGACTCTGTTGAGGGCATAAATCTCTGCTCTTTGTCTTTGCTTCAGCTCCTGTTGGGCTGACTTCTG